AACATTTGAAGTTGAAGTGAATGACACTAAAAGTTAAGCCTAAAATACAAAATAAAAGTTTTAACATGAACAATAACAAGATTATTTACTTTTGACAATCTTTAACATGATTTTTTTTTATTTTTCAACTTAAAAAAATTGAAGATGTCTGTCTGCTACCAGTCAATATTATCTATAAACATGTGCTCTGATTTTATCAAATAAATTGTGCCAAAATTTCAGTCAATAAAATATGCCAATAAAATGCTTGCTGTAACCTGACACCAGACAAGATATAGGACGCAAGCAATAAAATGTCATTCCTGATCTCCTTTTATTTTTCACAATTTTTATCTCAAGTGAAATCAAACTATAAGGACAGCACAAGTCTCTATCTCCAAGAATGGAAGAAACTCTAGTGTCAGACAGAAGTATTAGTGAAGTATTGATATCCAACAACAAAAATAACATGTATACTAGCACCCAGCATGCAGTCTCTTGTTTGGGCAGCAAATGAAATGTCTCCTACATCAACTGGTGACAGAGAAAAGTCAAGCATGAAAAATCTTCACTTATAAATTGGCTGACAAGTGTTTAGTCAGTGGCCATGAAAACTCCACCTGTCATCAGAGGCAGAACCTTCAGAGGGTTTGTTGATCCCAACTCTGCTTCCTTTGATGTGTAGTAATGGTATCACCCTCCATGTGCACTGGCAATCTGAATGTGTTAAGTCGTTAGACAGTCAACCCCTGACTACATCTTTATGTATTACAGGCAAAGCCACAGGTAGTGTTTTTACTTTGTCCTCATGTGACATTCCCACCCTTCATTGACCCGTGATTCAGATGGCTGGTTTTGCTCTCTACTTATACACAATCCTACACATTCCTGCAACAGTGATTTACTGACATCTGTAAAGTTTCTCTGCTTTGTACTTTGAGTAAATTTAAAAACTTAAAAAGTTTTATCTGGAAAAAATGGAATCTTATTTCCTCCATTCAGAACTTCAATGCTGCCATATTGGGCGACAATTTAAGGAAGAAAACATTGGAATTTGACTAATTGTAGAGAAGTAACATCACAGATATATATAAAATCATGTAGCTACAGAAAAGTCAGTACAAAGCTCACTAAACCATCAGGGCCAACAGAGTACACCTTTATCTAAGCTAGCCGGTACAGAATACCTTCTTCTCTATAATTATCCTGAGCTTGATAAGTGACACCATTTATCAATAGCTACCGCTGGAATGTCCCTTTTTGTCATCATCTCGGGGGAAACAGTCACTCTCCTTGTAGGAGCGCTGTTAGCTTTAATCTGTCCAAAATTATTAAAATTTTTATTTATTAAATGGGATAAATTCACAGAGTCTTCAGCAGTTTTGAAATTTACTTCTAAGCATTCAAATTTTTTAAAACCAGAACAAACAAAAACTGCAAAAATAACAAAAAATGACTACATATAGACTTGTATTAAATCGATCATACCCAGGTAACATCCTACTTGTTAATACTTCCAGCTTGTAATGCTAATTAATATATATACCTACTTATTAAAATACTGTATCAAGTTTACAGTGGAATCATAATTATGTCACACAGTACACTTCCTGAGGTTAAGAGCTAATTAGCTATGATTAGGGATGGTTTCTCTGATTGATAGAAATAAACCAGTCCTTTTACTAGTATCATCAAACAAGGACATCACTTTCTTCCCCAGTGCATCTGTACATCATCAAACAAGGACATCACTTTCTTCCCCACTACATCTGTACATCATCAAACAAGGACATCACTTTCTTCCCCAGTACATCTGTACATCATCAAACAAGGACATCACTTTCTTCCCCACTACATCTGTACATCATCAAACAAGGACATCACTTTCTTCCCCAGTACATCTGTACATCATCAAACAAGGACATCACTTTCTTCCCCAGTACATCTGTACATCATCAAACAAGGACATCACTTTCTTCCCCACTACATCTGTACATCATCAAACAAGGACATCACTTTCTTCCCCAGTACATCTGTACATCATCAAACAAGGACATCACTTTCTTCCCCACTACATCTGTACATCATCAAACAAGGACATCACTTTCTTCCCCAGTAGGGTCGACAATAACTACAGCATGTATTTCATTGCATGAGGTAAAAACTACATGGTCCATTAAATAGCTTAATTCACAACTCAATGCTATAAATAGACATTGTTTACATATCTTTACAGTTGAATTGTATAATGCTGAAGTTTTTGAGCTTAATTGTATGTATTTCCCTATATTTCAATAAGACTGCATGATGTGGTTGTCTCAAGTTTTTACTACATAGCCACAACAGTACAAGGTCCTAACCAAATACCGTGTCTGAGTTGTTATCATCACTGGAGATGTAGGAATCATGCTCCAAACACCCTATTTTATAAAAAGATCAGTAATGTATGTAAGAGGCAGAATTTGTCCTGGACAAGCCGTTTTTGAAAATTTAAAACAAGGTGAAACACCATAATGTGGTAGATTTCACATCATACAATCATGTTGTATCCTGACCAATCAAGGAATGATGGAAAAAATACAGCTGTTTATGTGGAGTTCCTGGATGTAACAGGACACCAATGGCTGTTCATTTGGGATATTTCCTTCTCAAGTACATTTTGTTGTCAAAATTCATGAAAAATCATGATCTATTTCAATAAGGTATTGCCATGAATATTTGTAACTTTGGTTTTAAGCCATCAAATAAGTTTTATTTACAAAAATAATCAGCGGACATAACAGGACACAAATTTTGGAATAATCAAGCTTTATTTTGGTACAAATAGATGAAGATGAATTTTTTTCTTTATTACAATCGAATAAATAATATTGTTAAAGATTCAAAATAGTGTTTAAAGAATAGTGTTAAAGATTTTCATCTCTTGAAAATGATTTAAATCACCAGTTGCAATTATGGGTGTCTTTCATTACATTTATTTCAGAATCTGTGTCCAAAGCATATTTTGTAAAACAGAGATCCCAGAGGGATCTTGGTGCCCACCATTTGCTCTTTGAAAGTTGGATCTTTACCCTTCTTTTCTCCTTCCTTCTCCCAAAATCAAAAGGGCACAACTAGGGACCAAGGGAACCTAAATATGAAATGTAAGAAAGATACATCCCATACTTCTCACATAAAACATAGAGACCAACAACGTCCAGGTGCTATTTTTTCAAAATGTTGTAAATGTAAATGTCATCACTTCAGAACCAACCTCATTTCTTACAACTTGTGGTCAAGTACCAGCAATACTTCAACACTGGTGCTACAACTGTTCTGTTACATCATCACTTCAGAACCAACCTCATTTCTTACAACTTGTGGTCAAGCACCAGCAATACTTCAACACTAGTGCTACAACTGTTCTGTTACATCATCACTTCAGAACCAACCTCATTTCTTACAACTTGTGGTCAAGCACCAGCAATACTTCAACACTGGTGCTACAACTGTTCTGTTACATCATCACTTCAGAACCAACCTCATTTCTTACAACTTGTGGTCAAGCACCAGCAATACTGTAACACTGGAATGCAGTATTATTGGTGCCCCCCTAAAAAAAAGTGACCGATAAAAATGGAATATGCCTCACGGTGGAAGAGTAAATGCCTCGACATGGTGCCTAAACACACAAGAATAAAAATACCCTAGATTCCTGAGGAGGCACAGGTAGGGAATGAGGTCCAGAAAATACAAACCCTCACGATGGGAGGCCAAGGACCTCAGATAGAAATCTGTGAAAGTATTCCTGCTGCACCAGAAGGTAGCAAATATGACTTCCTGAAAGGAGGATCCATGATGCAGCGAGGGCCCTAACCTCAAAAGCCCGCACCTCTGATCTCTTCAGAAAAGCCTGTCTGAGCAGGGTTCCTAAGATAGCCTCCACTCTCTGGATCTCTGGACGAGAGTGCATCGTCCTGGACCGAGGCTGGCGAAGGAGAATCAATCTGGAGTGAAGTGCTAATGATTCCTCCAGCAGAAGAGCTCTGGAAACCAAGGTTGTCTCGGCCACAGAGGGGCTATCAGGAGTAAGGGACAGTGATGCTCCCAAAACTTCTGTAGCACCCTGCCCACCAGATTGTTTGGAGGGAATGCATCTCCTCTCTACTGTCGAAAGTAGAAGACAAATCTCTTTTATGACAGAGAGAAGATCACTGGAAAGGCTGGGACTTCTTGACTTGAGACTCTCCATGAACTCACATGGAGTAGACTCACTGCAAGGATGACAAAGGAGACAAGTGTCATAAAGGTCCTGATTTCCAATGAAATGGGAATACCCATGGACTGTGCCCTATCGTAATCCCGCCCAAGACATACTTACAAACAACCAACAAAATGTAAATAAGTATGTAAATTTGTGAACAAATTAACTCAAAACTTCAAGGCAAGCGATGTAAACGAAGGTAGACAAAAAGTCGAAAACAAGGCCAAAAAAAACAAACCAAAGTGCTGACAGTAAAACCGTAATGGTAGACTATGCGGCATACACCTCACGGACACATGGAGGAAGTAAACCACCGAAAATTGGCACAAAAACAATTAAACCAAATTAACATAAACAAATCGCAGATGGAGATAAACAATACCAACTGAGCAAAAAAAAAAAGACTCAGAAATCAAGTGAGTGACTGAAAGGCAAGAACATCAAAGAACTCATCTGAAACACTTCAGCCATCAGAGGTGCCATCAAGGAAAGAGGAAGGGAGATCACTTATGTCTCTGTCAAAATGACTCATGGGATGGCAGGTAGAGCGGGATTTTTTAATCTTTTGTTTTTGGGCAACAAAGATGGGTTCAGGTACTACATTTTGCACACTAAAATTACGGTAATTATTACTATATAGTTGTTCGATCTTATTTGCTGTCTGTGGACTAACCAATAAATATTCATCCTGTGATAAATCTGAACTTAGGTACAAGTTTTGAATTTTGAACCCACATTTGGGGGTAATGGGAACACTGACAGATTTGAAGTTTCCTACCTGTGGTAGTCTGTGATGCAGTAGATCTTGTTGTCTACATCTATCGTAAATGGAACACCATCCAGACAGTCATTACATACACAGCATCGGAAACAGCCAGGGTGGTAAGACTTTCCCATCGCCTGTAGGATCTGTAATAAAGTGTCATAGAGAATAGAAACAAATATACAGGTATTTATAAATTTTGACAAACACCTGAGTGTCCCATCAGCTAAATACGACTGAACATAACTATTTTAAATTTTATGATGTGATTGTATTTAATTTTATTTCTGATGTGTGTGGCAATAATGAAATATCATATATCGTATGTTGTAAAAGGCATAATAAAAAGTTGTGTAGAGTACATAAGCTGTATATATAATCTGACTATTAGTGACTTGTCATGTTCACCTTTCATTACCATACTGATTAACAGGTGAGTCAGTATTCATCGTTCTATTTAAGATAAATAATCTTAAGGAATGATCAACTGTTATAATTACAGGTAAAGATGACAACAGGTGGGTAAACCTACGAATACATGTCCAAATTAATTAGTCAAGGTAAAAGTAATTTTCAAGATTATATATACACATAGTAACAGTTTAGAAGATTTAGGAACAGGTTTACATAAAAGATTACCCTCAGAAGTTCTGCTACATACAAATACAGTTATTCCTGTGCAGGTATTAAGTTTTAAACCAGATTCCTGAAATATATCACAGTGATGACAAATGGACAATTTGAGTTCAGGGAAGGCAAATCTACAACCACCCGATGTTTAATCAGATATTTGGTGGCTTAAACAGTGATTTCTGCTGAAATGATTGGATTCACACCTACTAATGTTCTAGATATAATTCCTACTACATTCCCATCCAAAAGACAGGTACCCTGTATAAGCAATGAGAAGTGACTAACCTTAGTGATGCTAAGGACCATGACATCAGTCTTGATATAAACTGAGGAATGCCCATTTGCTGCCCTACTCCCCTTTACCCCTGTGTACACAGACCTAGCTTTTGCCTGTGTGCACACATGCATGACAACCCTATACATGCATTATATATCCAGACCCGTCTTAATACAGTGCATTATCAATATGTTGTATTGTAACCACAAAACTTGTCCACCTGATGATTTTCTTATCATTATAAGAGAAAGTAGCCGTTAGCCAATAAATATGCTTCTTACAAAACTGTAACCACAAACTTGTCCACCTGATGATTTTCTTATCATTATAAGAGAAAGTAGCCGTTAGCCAATAAATATGCTTCTTACAAAACTGTAACCACAAAATTGTCCACCTGATGATTTTCTTATCATTATAAGAGAAAGTAGCCGTTAGCCAATAAATATGCTTCTTACAAAACTGTAACCACAAACTTGTCCACCTGATGATTTTCTTATCATTATAAGAGAAAGTAGCCGTTAGCCAATAAATATGCTTCTTACAAAACTGTAACCACAAAATTGTCCACCTGATGATTTTCTTATCATTACAAGACAAAGTAGCCGTTAGCCAATAAATATGCTTCTTACAAAACCTCACCACTCTTTTCTTTATTACAGCATAGTCTTAACAAAAGGCACACTCAACTTTTAAACAATTTCAGTAAAACTTATTTTCCATAAACTTTACATCAAATTTTCCAAATTGCTCCTTGCTCTTCAAATACATACTGAATCACATTTTCTTTTCAAATTTCATTACATGCATTTGTTTCCATCCTATATTTTCAAAAAGCTATATACTTCGTGGATGATTTTCTGTAATGAATTTCACTGAAACAATTCTTCTTTTCTATTATTTTTATAGGAATTACAGACAATGAAGTTCCTGTTTCTATAATAAAAACAATTGTGGTTACCATGGCACCCAGCCATATGCTATCTTGGCCAGTTTACATAAACAAGCTACAAAACAGTGTTTGGCACATTTCTAGATTCCCATGAGATTGATATATCAGTTGGGGAGGCTGGCCAAGACTGGACTAAATCTGCTGTGTTACTAATCACACTAAGTATACTGTTGCTACGGTGATGAGTATCTGACATAATTATAAAACTACAGTAATACTAATATCTACAGATGTCTCAATCACTTCATCCTTGCATCACTATATCAAAGATAAACATCAGCTGGTCACACCTGATGCCCCATACTGTTTGTAAACACATTATGTTTTAGGATTAATACAAGGAAACAGTTTTAGGCAATAACAAAATAACAGCTTTTGTTTCTAGGACTGATATAAGGGCACAGTTCAGGTTCTTAAGGACTGGTACAGGGGCACAACTTGGGTACGTAAGGACAGATACTTGGGCACAGCTTGGGTTCTCAAGGACTGATACATGGGCACAGTCTGGGTTCTTAAAACTTGGTACCAGAGCACAGCTTGGGTTCTTAAGGACTGGTACCGAGGTACAGCTTGAGTTCTTAAGAACAGATGCATGGGCACAGCTTGGGTCCTTAAGGACAGATGCATGGGCACAGCTTGGGTTCTTCAGGACGGAAATGTGGGCACAGCTTGGGTTCTTAAGGACCAGTACATGGGCACAGCTTTGGTTCTTAAGGACAGATACATGGGCACAGCTTGGGTTCTTCAGGACAGGTATTTGGGCACAGTTTGGGTTGTTACGGACAAGTACATGGGCACAGCTTGGGTTCTTAGGGACAGATACATGGGCACAGCTTGGGTTCTTAAGGACAGATACATGGGCACAGCTTGGGTTCTTCAGGACAGATACATGGGCACATGTGCACATGAGCACATGGGCTCTTGGTTATTGCAACTGACACAAGGGCATAACTTTAGATTCTAGATGACTGATACAAGAACAAGGCTTTGGGTTCTAGGACTGAATCAAAAAACAGCATTGAGTTCTTGTAAAGGACACAGATATGCCTACATATTTCTCGGGCCACAATATCTGGCAGGCTTTACAACAGAAAGGCTTCTAACATCTATCATGGTAAAGAATAACTTGTATCAATAGTTATCCTTCCTGCAATGTAAGGCTATGTCTACTACTGGAAAGCCAACACATAAATACTCTTTAACACCAGAATAGACAAATGCTATTCTGTTGTCTCGCGATAAGCCCATCCCTATGTCTTTGAGTCAAGCTTGATGTGTTGGAAACCAGGGTTATTACTTTGGTTCAAAGCAAATTAATTAAAAAATTTAAATGATGTTCATTCATGGAACACACAACTAATGGGCTTTGACCAGCACCATAATTTATTTAAGTATTATGTGAGGCGGTATATCATGGTGAATATGTTTGTCCTGACAGTGGAGTTGATATTGTTCTAGGAATGCTACATATCATTTCAGTACTCACCATCTCCATGATGAGGTGACCACAAACACAACATTTCTCTGCTGTCTGCTGGAACCCAGAGTACTGAAAAATGCAAAATAAATGTCGTGGTTTTCATCATCATTACAGTACACCTGTTCTGAATTGGAATGTGAGATGTGATTCAAGTAGCACATTTAAACACCTTTCCCCTGCTATGCCCTCCCTCACTACCTCTTGATCTCAGCTGTTAGTTCCTGTTGTAATAAATATGTAACTATGTGCAATCATAAAACCATCCTCGCCCTAATCTCTTTCAACCTCTGAGCATCCAGATTTTGTCCTGTTTAGCCTTACCCACCACATAAAACCCTCCCGCCCCCTCTCCCAACCAATTCATCACCAATGGCTCCACCCCTTTCAGTACCAACATTTATTGTATATCCTCACCTGTATTATTACATTCCTAATATAACAACTTCTACCAATAGTTTCAAGTTATGGTTTACACAACAATAAAATGGAATACAACAAAGAAAACATTGCTAAATTAACAAAATCTTCAATCAAACTTAGAGTAGATGAAACTTTGGCATGATATAAACAAAGAAAAAGATTGCCCAGCAACTTCAGTAAAAGTACAAAGAGAATATTGGTAATTAGTAATGGTATTACAGTAGGAGCACTCGTCTGCTTTACACAAATACCTATAGTCCCATTGATCATTACTAATTCTAAATTCTCTGACTACATACTATAAACAAAACCTGAATTATTATGTATAATTTGGTAAATTCTTGAACAAAGCAATAGAAAATTGCAGTAAAATTAATGTGAAGCCATTTGACACAACAACACCTGTTAAAAGAATCCCCACAATTTTACAACATTCAAACATTTCTGTCATTATTGCTTGTACAATGTTATCATTTCAGATTGACAGATATTTCATCTCCTTCGTTAAAAAACAACTTTGACTAATTATGTCAATACCTAGGAGTTTAGCAGCATAAAAAGTCCATTATCATTGGATAGTTAACTTTAAATTGTATACACTCATTCACCCAGGAAATCTTATATTTACAATAAAGCCTGCTAGGCCAAATAAGTCAAGTGTGGAAAGTGGAACATTAACTGATTAGTGTTCAATGAACTTGACAAATATTGTTTTGTCTGTGATTAGGTGGCTGGGTGTATATAGATAATCTGACATGTTTACTTCTTTGGCACTTGAGGGGACGCACGAAAGGGAACAAACAGAATGAAAGGTTGATGGAAAGCAGGGAGAAGGAGGGTCATGTGACATGGAAGTAGTGGTAAATAAGGAGATGGAAGGGGCCAGGAGTCCTACTGTCTGACAGAATATCTCAATCTATTGTTATCAGTCTACTTGCAGGTTTTTGTGGCTAGCACCTGTAATTGTTTTCTGTACCATCTAGAAAAATAATTATTTTAATGATAGTGTGAATGAGCTGGAAAGATCCATACAAAGATAAATGACATGAACATTCTCTAAATAGGTTATAGTTGATGGAAAGAGGGAAAAAAAGTCTTCAAACCTCAAATTCCTTTGGTGTGTTTTCCGAAAAGTCCAAACTATTTTATAATTACCACACTAGAATTATCAATGTCTTCTCATCATAACCACTGAAAGCTTTTTAAAGGGCATGTTTAATGAGAGCTGAAATCAATTAGTGGAGTCGCCAACTCATATTAATTTGTGTGAAAACTACTTAGCAAGAAGTCAGAGAACAGTGACTATTACTACCAAATTTATTTCAATTTACACCTGATGCACATTAGCAAGAACTACTGGCTAAGACTGTAATAGAAGTGTTCATTTTATCCAATGCTCCTAATGTTCAACAGCTTTAAAACTCAAGGCACTAATAAAGAAATCATATTTAATAACCATTTGAAAATAAAATCAAAGTTTTTTTGTTTAATTCAAAACATCTTAAATGAGAATAACAATTTTCATATTACAGAATATCATTTTCTAAAAAGAAAAAAGACAATATTACATGAACTCATTTAAAAGCAATTTCCTGTCAAGTGTACAATTCTCTGAAGTGGAAAGTATATAAGGTAAGTGGTGTGTTTGCTAATGACAGTTAAAATAGGTATCATCTCAGAGAGCTGTGCAACACTGCATGATTACAGATTCATCCTTCACAAAAACTGAACATTTCAATAATGTGAGCAATTTTAAAGCTAATTTTACATAATACAACTGTTGAGTTTCACATTATTTAAGTATCCCTACATCTAACTGTAGGTTTATACAAGTGACTTTCACTGACCAGATAATCCTCTTCACAGTAAACTTTTCCATGGACATTGTAAAACGCCTTCCCTCTGAGAGTCCGCCCTGAGAACATAGAACATATATTAGTGATCAGTGATTTTCTCACACTGAAATAAGGTTGATAAAATACAGGAAGTTGACATTAAACATTACATTTTAAGATATATCTCCCACCCACCAAAAATATTTTTCTTCCTAAAAAGTCACTAGAATTTAATCCACTTTATCACAAATAAATGGTGTTTTGGCAATGCTTAGAAAATAGTATAAGTATTTGATTTAATTAGCTAATAGTAACCATACTTCGAGACCATATGTCTGTCTAGATTTCTATAATAAGAATATGAATGTAGTCCATGAAAGATTTATTTAATTCTCAATGTCATCTTGAGTATGTCAATTATGTAATCCTTTCAACAGAAGTCATTACACCGATTATGACAGACAATAGTCTCTCCTTGAAATAAACATTGAGGGATTTAATATGTCTCTGCTGAATACTGCCTACCACTGTTCTGGTAGTGAAATATTGCATGAAACTAAACCAATTTAACATAATTACAGCTAGAAAAAACTTTGGTAAATGTCCAACATTTCTAATATTTTACTTAATGCAGAATGACATTTTTAAAGCCTTACTTACATTTTTTTTCAAATCTATATTAACAAAAGAGTAATAAAACTAAAGATTCCCAGCAATAACACCACAACACATACAGACCAGGGAATTCATTGTCACCTATGTCACCAATCAAACACCACAACACATACAGACCGGGGAATTCATTGTCACCTATGTCACCAATCAAACACCACAACACATACAGACCAGGGAATTCATTGTCACCTATGTCACCAATCAAACACCACAACACATACAGACCAGGGAATTCATTGTCACCTATGTCACCAATCAAACACCACAACACATACAGACCAGGGAATTCATTGTCATGTCACCAATCAAACACCACAACACATACAGACCAGGGAATTCATTGTCACCTATGTCACCAATCAAACACCACAACACATACAGACCAGGGAATTCATTGTCACCTATGTCACCAATCAAACACCACAACACATACAGACCAGGGAATTCATTGTCACCTATGTCACCAATCAAACACCACAACACATACAGACCAGGGAATTCATTGTCACCTATGTCACCAATCAAACACCACAACACATACAGACCAGGGAATTCATTGTCATGTCACCAATCATTCATTGTCACACCAATCAAACACCACAACACATACAGACCAGGGAATTCATTGTCATGTCACCAATCAAACACCACAACACATACAGACCAGGGAATTCATTGTCACCTATGTCACCAATCAAACACCACAACACATACAGACCAGGGAATTCATTGTCACCTATGTCACCAATCAAACACCACAACACATACAGACCAGGGAATTCATTGTCACCTATGTCACCAATCAAACACCACAACACATACAGACCAGGGAATTCATTGTCACCTATGTCACCAATCAAACACCACAACACATACAGACCAGGGAATTCATTGTCACCTATGTCACCAATCAAACACCACAACACATACAGACCAGGGAATTCATTGTCACCTATGTCACCAATCAAACACCACAACACATACAGACCAGGGAATTCATTGTCATGTCACCAATCAAACACCACAACACATACAGACCAGGGAATTCATTGTCACCTATGTCACCAATCAAACACCACAACACATACAGACCAGGGAATTCATTGTCACCTATGTCACCAATCAAACACCACAACACATACAGACCAGGGAATTCATTGTCACCTATGTCACCAATCAAACACCACAACACATACAGACCAGGGAATTCATTGTCACCTATGTCACCAATCAAACACCACAACACATACAGACCAGGGAATTCATTGTCACCTATGTCACCAATCAAACACCACAACACATACAGACCAGGGAATTCATTGTCACCTATGTCACCAATCAAACACCACAACACATACAGACCGGGGAATTCATTGTCACCTATGTCACCAATCAAACACCACAACACATACAGACCGGGGAATTACCATGTCACCAATCAAACACCACAACACATACAGACCAGGGAATTCATTGTCATGTCACCAATCAAACACCACAACACATACAGACCAGGGAATTCATTGTCATGTCACCAATCAAACACCACAACACATACAGACCAGGGAATTCATTGTCAGCTATGTCACCAAACAAACACCACAACACATACAGACCAGGGAATTCATTGTCACCTATGTCACCAATCAAACACCACAACACATACAGACCAGGGAATTCATTGTCACCTATGTCACCAATCAAACACCACAACACATACAGACCAGGGAATTCATTGTCACCTATGTCACCAATCAAACACCACAACACATACAGACCAGGGAATTCACCAATGTCACCTATGTCACCAATCAAACACCACAACACATACAGACCAGGGAATTCATTGTCACCTCTGTCACCAATCAAACACCACAACACATACAGACCAGGGAATTCATTGTCACCTATGTCACCAATCAAACACCACAACACATACAGACCAGGGAATTCATTGTCACCTATGTCACCAATCAAACACCACAACACATACAGACCAGGGAATTCATTGTCACCTATGTCACCAATCAAACACCACAACACATACAGACCAGGGAATTCATTGTCACCTATGTCACCAATCAAACACCACAACACATACAGACCAGGGAATTCATTGTCACCTATGTCACCAATCAAACACCACAACACATACAGACCAGGGAATTCATTGTCACCTATGTCACCAATCAAACACCACAACACATACAGACCAGGGAATTCATTGTCATGTCACCAATCAAACACCACAACACATACAGACCAGGGAATTCATTGTCATGTCACCAATCAAACACCACAACACATACAGACCAGGGAATTCATTGTCATGTCACCAATCAAACACCACAACACATACAGACCAGGGAATTCATTGTCACCTATGTCACCAATCAAACACCACAACACATACAGACCAGGGAATTCATTGTCACCTATGTCACCAATCAAACACCACAACACATACAGACCGGGGAATTCATTGTCACCTATGTCACAAATCAAACACCACAACACATACAGACCGGGGAATTCATTGTCACCTATGTCACCAATCAAACACCACAACACATACAGACCAGGGAATTCATTGTCATGTCACCAATCAAACACCACAACACATACAGACCAGGGAATTCATTGTCACCTATGTCACCAATCAAACACCACAACACATACAGACCAGGGAATTCATTGTCACCTATGTCACCAATCAAACACCACAACACATACAGACCAGGGAATTCATTGTCACCTATGTCACCAATCAAACACCACAACACATACAGACCAGGGAATTCATTGTCACCTATGTCACCAATCAAACACCACAACACATACAGACCAGGGAATTCATTGTCACCTATGTCACCAATCAAACACCACAACACATACAGACCAGGGAATTCATTGTCACCTATGTCACCAATCAAACAATCATCTACTGTGTTCACTGAATGAGGTTACAAGCACTGGACGGCCTCCTGTACAGCAAAATTTCAATAATCAAATTCTAATAAATATGAAGGTTCAAGGGTCATATTTCTAATAAAAAAAATTAAATGGTGTTTTTATATAATAATTTGAATATTACAGGTCAAGATTTCAATAACAATCTGATTCACACAAAACAGTATCAATTATTCTATTGAGCATTTTCCAATAATACAGGAAAGGCACCAACGAGTGAAGAATGCCTGGAATGTGACAAATGAGCTGCAATCAATACTGGTCATACGCAACATAGTATAGAATTCAGCTTCAAAATTATCTGATGAAAACATCACAACAAGAATTGTGAGTTGCATTTAATGAGACTCGCTGGAGTGTGGCCTGGATTTCCATGAGGGAACACAATCCTTGGTTCAGATACAGCACTTTGTGATCAGATCCCACATCGATTAACGTATTGTAGGTTGTTTCAGTTTACATGGTATATTTCTACTGTACATGTGAAATAATTCTCATCATGAATTAATGAGAAGTCCACTGTATCCATGGGAAAGTATTCAATACAGTGTGGTTGTCTGGAATGTGAACAAATCAATCTATTAAATGACTTTAATGAAAATTCCTAGTGATTAGTGTCATGATGACTTTGATAACCAATAAATTAACCCACAGCCAACATGTTGGCTCCTGTACACATACAGCAAGCAGTTAACAATGAAACAAGGACCATTTTTAAATCACAGATGAATTGACTGTGAAGTGTAAAAAGATGATAAAATCAATACTAAAGTTGAGCAATAGTAAACAAAATCAATTTTCTAAACCTGGTTTTTTTTTTAATTATAACAAAAAAAATTTTGATCAGCGAACAAAATTTCGCTTGAATAATCATTAAAACTACTACAACAGGAAACAAATCTACATATCTGCTATGGAATGTCACACATGTAAACAATTACATGCATGAACTTCCACCTCCTTCAATCTCCACCCCCAGTAACACCTGCTCCACAACTCAGCATACACTTAATGTCAGGCTAAAACACTACAATGAACTCTCAATAATGAAGCCTTCCTCGTGACATTTGGGGCCACAAGTAAGGGTCATGTTCAACACAAAGTTTTACTCAGCTGTGAAATTCACCTGTCTATTCATGCTAAGAAATGCAGCTTTTTGTTGATTTCGAAAACTTGCTCAAGCATTGCCTGGGACAATAAAGATTGAAGCCTATGTACGAAAGTACCGACCTCTAATGCTGACCAATAGTCACCATATTAATTGAACAGCTTTAAACTTTATCTTCGGAAAATATTTCCTGTGTTACTTAAATTTATCAAATTCAATTGATGATATATTCAGTATCATCTTATTTATGCATCACACCTTAATTAAATATTATCAATATACTGACAGTGTCTTCAAACACCTTAAGCTGACCAGCTGAACCAGTAA